AAACACCCTGCTAGTTGCTGTTTCTTTGTGGAGAATGAAGAGGTCACAAAGGCGAAGAGATCAGCAGATGTAAGATGATGCTTCCAATGCTCAACACTTCAGCCATCTTCAGATGGGAAATATGTGCTGAGTTTGCCACCACCAGACCCCAGGTCTATATAAAGAGATGCAACAACAGACCCTAGCAATTCTTCCTACAGCATCTTCCTCTTAAAACTACACAGTAAAGAGGAAGGAAACTGACATTTTAAATATGACAAAACTTGGATTAGAATCTCAGCTCTATCATGTCACCTTTCTATCCTGTTTTCTTCTCTGTGAAGTAGGACTTCTCAGAAGGGCTGAGAAGATTCAATGAGAGGACACAGGCAGAAGCACTCAGGAAACGCCAACTTTCCTTCTCTGGAGGGTGTCATCTTTCAGGGACATGTTACAAGGAGCAACTTCTGTCTTCTGCATCCCAGACCAGAAGAAATCATGTTCAAAAATGACCCTTGCGTTTATCGCGCTTCCATGAGAAGGATGAAGGTAATGTCACCAGGAGAGTAGGTGATCTACTTTATTCATTTTCACCTTCTTTATTCAAACAAGAAACCAGAAGCAAGGGGGCAGGGTATGGGGGGGTCAAGAAAAACAGTCATGGAAAAAGTTTGCCCACCTCCATGCCAAATCAAACCACTGCGTCATACCTACTCTTGAGACAAAGCCACTAACGTTTGCATAGCTGCACACTATTTCATACTGTGTCCTCCTTCTCTGCAACATGCTGTGGGAATGTGATTTGGATGGTGAAACAGATTTGGAGAGTTTGGATCTGTACGTAAAGAAAGGGCCAAAATGAAGATTGGAGTAATAACTTTCACCTGACAGCCAGTGGAGGGGTGGACTTGGGTAAATGGTTTTCTAATTGACAGTTTTAGGCCCTGGCAACTGCAATAGAAGTGGAGTCCAAATCCTTTGGAGGGTCTGTAACTCTAAAAGCTGTGTTAATGCGATAGATTAAATGTACCAAAGCTGAGGCGGCCAGGCGGCAGACCCCTGGGCTGGGGGTTGCCTTTTCCTGGTCTCACAACTGTTTATTTTGATTACTTTAAGTGTTGCAAAGCCCCATTGCCTTTCTCTCAAATTTCTGGCCCACTTGTACCCACATTGCTGGTTCTTTTGAGCTTCTATCCAGATTTTGATTCCTCACAAAGCCTCTGCTAATCAGGTGGTCAAAGGCTCTGGGTGTTAAATTTGGTTCCCCGGTACAGTCCTGTGGTTCAGAAGTCTCCTTTTTCCATGCATTTTCCAGAACATGGTCACACACGTTTCTGCTGCAGTATCAGTTTATGCTGCAAAGAAAACAACCTCCAAAACCTCAGTGCCTCAGGGGTGGGCAGATCAACTGAAGTCTGACCACTTTCACCTGGTTGCAGCTGAATGGCTGTGCCTCAGGGGGCAGAATACTGGGTTGGCTCTGACATCTGGGTTGAGTCAAGATGTGCCCAACATGCCCTTTGCCCTTCTGGGATCAACACCTACCTGGAGCCTGTCTTATGGCAAATGGAAGAAGTGCAAAAGGACAAACCAACTACATAATCCAAGCCCTCACATCACTTGCTGTAATTCCACATTGGCCAAAACAGTTCACATGGCCAAACTCAAAGTCAAGGGCCCAAGAAATACATTCCTCATTTAGGGAGAATAAGGGAAGTCACATGGCAAAGGGCATGGATACAGAATGCTAATAAAAGTACGTGCATGCGAAGAGTCAGAGACCAGAGAGTCAAACTGTTACTCTTCTTCAAGTCTTGGTCCTGGTCATGGTCTTGGATAGCAGTGAGAAGTGGAAACATAGATTTCTCACCCGGCACAAAACTCAACTCAAAGTGGATCAAAGACTTAGGAATTAGTCCAGAGACCCTGCATCTAATAGAAGAAAGTAGGCCTAAATCTTCATCATGTTGGATTAGGTCCTGACTTCCTTAATCAGACTCTTAAAGAACAAAAAAAATAAAATTAAGAATTAATCAGTGGGATGGATTCAAACTAAAAATCTGCTTCTTAGCAAAGGAAACAATCAATAATGTGAAGAAAGAGCCCACAGAGTGGGAGAACATCTTTACTACATGCACATCAGATAGAGCACAAAAAACAGGATATATAAAGAGCTCAAAAAACTTAACACCAAAAAAATAAATAACCCAATCAATAAATGTGCTAAGAAACTGAACACACACTTCTCAGAAGAAAATAAACAATCGATCAACAAATACATAAGAAAATGTTCAGCGTCTCTAGTAATTAGAAGAATGCAAATAAAAACTACTATAAGGTTTCATCTCACTCCAGCCAAAATGGCAATTATCAAGAATACAAGTAATAATCAGTGTTGGAGAGGATGTGGGGGAAAAGGTACACTTATACATTGATGGTGGGACTGCAAATTGGTGCAACCACTTTGGAAATCAGTATGGAGATTCTTTAGAAAACTTGGAATGGATCCACCATTTGCTCCAGCTATTCCACTCCTCGCTCTATAAAAAAAAAGGACTTAAAAACAGCATACTATAGTAACACAGTCATATCAATGTTTACAGCAGCTCAATTCAAATAGCTAAACTGTGGAACCAACCAAGATGCCCTTCAATAGATGAATGGATAAAGAAAATGTGGCATATATACACAATGGAATATTACTCAGCATTAAAAGAGAGCAAAATCATGGCATTTGCAGGTTAATGGATGGAGCTGGAGAATATCATGCTAAGTGAAATAAGCCAATCCCAAAACACCAAAAGCCATATGTTCTCTCTGATAAGTGGAGGCTGATCCATAATGGAGAGAGAGACATGGGAAGAATGGAGAAAATTTGACTAGTCAAAGGTAGGGGCAATGGTGGCAGGAAAGATGGTGGAATGAGATGGACATCATTACCCTAGGTATATAGATATGACTGCACATATGGTGTGATGATGCTACATCATGTACAACCAGAGAAATGAAAAGTTGTGCTCCCTTCGTGTACAATGAATGAAAATGATGTGTGGCAAAGCGATTCCAATTCAGTGAAATGGTGAGTTTAGAGATGACAGTAAGCTAGTATACCTAATGAAATATATACCTAATGAAAATTAATTGATTAATTAATTATTTTTTTAAAAGAAGTGAAGATATGGAGAATATAGGACTCCTGTATCACTGTCCAATCCACTTCTCTCCCATCTGGAGTTTTCCTGGGTCCACTAGCCTGTATGTGTTGATGAAGTCACATAAATCACAGCAACTCTAACTTCACCAGCTGTGCTCCTATTGATGGAATGTTAAGACCCACTTCAAAACCTTACTCAAGTAAATCTGGGACTCCCCAGGAGTATCAGACATGATCTCATGAAGATTTCTTTCATGTTCTGCCCTGAAACCCCCTTGCCTATGCTAACACTGATGCCAAGGCCTGTGAATCATCTGAGAGAGAGACAAGAGAACCTCATCAGTACCAATATCACAGGGCCCCTTGACAACCTCCCAGAACTCTCAAGCCCTGACTTCAACATTTGCGAGGCAATACATTCCTTATAAATTCCACTGAGGCCAGAGAAACAGGGCTACATGTACCCTCATACATCTGTCATCCTCTTTGTCATGTTCTGAAGAAGACTTGTTTATTGTGTCCAAGCCAACAACCTGTAGCCGGTGCCTTCGGGGTTCCTCAAATCTTTTACTCCGCTCCAGATAATTTTCAGATACCAATGTCTGCATCTCTATGGCTATAGGGCTATTTTTTTTTTTCACAACTAGAACAGACCGCTCTCCCTGTGTGTGCAGCAGAACAAAGGTGACAGGGAACTCACAACAGAACTCTCAGTGCGTGCTGGTTCTGTCAGTAATGTGTCCACCAAGCACTCTATGCTGCCCAGGACTCCTTTGGGGAAATCACTTCACTTTCAAAAGCTCTACTGTGCCATCGAAAAAGTAAAGTGTTGACCCCAGTGGATTCTAAAGTGCCCTCCATTCTCAAACATTCTTTGGATCCATACATTCAGATATATGTTTATCTGTGTATCCTTCTTAAAGAGAGGTGTCATATCATTTTTAGAATAAAAATGAGCCATGAAGGGAAACTGCTAAATGGTGTCAAGAGTAGAGAAAGTCACTCCACAGAAGCATGGGAGTTTCCTGCTAGATATTATGAAATTCGTCCCAGACTCTCTGATTACTGTTCAGAATCATGAACAGGAAGAATAAAATCCATGTTTAACTCACCAAATATTTATTCAGTGCCACAAGCTGTTCCAGGCGCTAAGGACATGACACTTAGCAAATACACACATTCTCTGACCTCTTGGAGCTTACTGTCATCTCAAATCTCACCCTTTCACTGAATTGGAATCGCTTTGCCACACATCAATTCCAATTCCTTCCTTCTCAAGGGGCTCAAAATGAATTCATTGTATTCCTGCCTTTCCATAATTCATCACTTTATCCCAAGACCTGTTTGGGACACAATGCTAAGTTCCTGATACTTCCCATGCATCTCCTGAGCCAGAGGAAGAGCCAAGAGGAGACTCTCATCCTGATCCTGTTGTTCTGCTGTCAGTAGAAATTGTTCAATCCAAGTGACAGGAATGTAGAGACTGCAATGCCTCTTCACCTGGTTGCCAGTGCCTTTCAGAATGTCAAGAGATATTTAGCAAGAAAAAAAAATACGGAGTTCAGGTTTGAGAAATTCTGAAGACAAGGCAAATCAGCAGGAGAGGGAACAAGCAGGGGACAGAGAATGATTAAAATATCAAAAAGGAAATCAGTAAATTTGAAACCTCGGACCTGGAAACAATTAGAGGTCAGCTGGCAACTGTCAAGAATCAATATAAGAAAGATGTAATTTTTAATAACTCAGAAATAAAGTGTTCTGTGAGCATGCTAGGGACTGGGAGAGTGGGTGAAAAGAACAGAGGGGAAAGGAGGTCTGTTAGCAATTATTGCGAGTGCCAGGGCCAGCTTAAGAGAGTCACTCTCACCTTCTCAGCACAGTGCCCGTGTTGGGTTTCCCCCTCGCTGCAGCACCCTCCAGTTTGGCATCCCCAGGGCACAGCCGGCCTTTCTTCTGCTCACCTAGTTCAAAACACAACATATCCAGGGTTCTTCTACATGTCATCAGTTCAAACACAGATGTGTCTGCCAACCCCTTCTTCTCCAAAGAAGTTGGGGCTATGGGAAACTTTTTTATTAAAGAGCCCGTGGCTTTTAAATAAACAAATGTTTCACCTAGCCATTTATTTATATGCCTAATGGATATCTTTAAATGTTAAAAGCTTCCAGGGGCAAAGAAAAAGGAGCTTAAGCAAAGACTTTCCCTCTTGGCAAGCTTTTGTAGATGTCATCAAGATAGAAATGTGGAGCCGAATTGGAAAACATCTTTTCAAAAGAACCAAGGATGAACACAATTTGCAGATCACTTTAGAGGTGGACACTTCTCCAAAGAAAGAACAAAACTCTCCTAACAACCGTGACACCACAAGCAGACAGGGGAATCCCCAGAAAGGTTAGAACATCACTTTTCAAAACTGCACTCTTTGAAATATTAAATTCTGAGTGATTTTAATAGGCATTTCATAAAAAAATACAGGGACAAAATAGGTCCCAATATCAAATAAGTTTGCAAAACACTACTGGGTTATGGAAAATTAGACAGGTTCTTTTATTGTAGGCCTTTTCTGATCCTTTATGGGAATTGTAAATCTCAGAGTTTGCAGGGGAAGGAAGGGGAATGGAATTTACTATTGTAAACTGGAATTTACTCTTGTAAAATTCTACCACCACGGGATTGGTTATTTTGTTGAATATCTTGCCGAATGTAGGTACAAGTTGGCTTAGATTTTTCTCTATAACTGGCAGGTGTCAATATGTTAAGTACATTGAAATTCAATAATGATTACAGAGAATAGCTCTATACCTTTTTCAAATATCATTTCTTCTAAAAATATTTATGAGATAAAAGGAACACTAATGTTGCTTGCATCTGCAACCCCCCCAATGTTCAAAACTAGATGCATTTAATTGTGGCCTGGTTAGTTTGACCCCATTCAGGATCCCAGTCGAGCACGAGGCCAGTCTTGGTGCCCGTCTCATTTGATCTTGGAGAGCAAGTAATTGTTACCTGTTCTGTTTCCCTGTAGCTGAAAGCTACAAGAACTGAGAAGGGCCTGAGAGATCATTTCTCCCAGCAACCTCAGTTTACAGCTGAGGAAATTGAGAAGCAGAGATGGGAAAGAACTGGCCTAAAAGCTACATAGCCACTTTTCCCAGGGACCAAGCCTCAGAAGCCCACCCAGAGCACTAAACCGGGCTCCCCCTCCCTGCACTTCACAGGCATAAAGAACCTTGGGTTTCCTCCAACTCACATCCCACTTGGCTCTTCAGGAGTCTAAAGTAATTCAAAATGAGCCTCCATGTGCCCTGTCACAGACTGGAGCACATTAAGGGCAGGAAATTAGGCAGGGGCATGTTTGTAGATCCGGTGCCGATTACTCTTCCACTCAGATTGTGCATCCACCAATACGGAATGGATTTATCTCTAATTTATTAAAGGTCGGTCAGCATGGATTGATAAAGGAAAGGCCATGTCTGATAAATTCACCTAAATTGAATTCTTGGGCCACATTACCAAATCAGCAGACATAATTTATCTGGATTTCAGGAAAGCATTTAGTGCTGTACCATATAACAGATGCATTTACTAAGTCAAGGCATTGTGTGACTGCTAAGTGTCAGGTGGCAATTCTGGAAACAGGTTTAAAATGGCCCAGAACCCAATGCTGGGTGCACTGACAGGAGACGCTTAAGAGTATAGACACAGGGGTCAGTCGCGGGGTCATTATTTCAAAGTCCTTAACCCTAATTATAATTTAATTTCCACAATGGTCATATCTCTTGAGAGCAAAACTGGGATGAAGGGGATGGTTTTAAAAGGAACAGACTGAAAACAAGTTCTGAATTTCTTTTTTTAATCAGCCTGGCTCAGCAAGAGATGAATGAGTTATTCTTCCACCAAATGAACACAAATAAACAAAAGAGCAAAGGAATCCAAAGGCTCTTGTCCAACAAAGGAACACAGTGAAGAAGTTTGGGCAGGACTGCGGTGAAAGGCAGGGGTCTCACCAATAGCCCAAACTTGAGTCTGAGTAGGTATGAAGAGAGTGAGATGAGTGGCATTTAGGGTTCCTGAGGTATAAATAGGCTCAAATAATTACGTAACTGTGAGTTATTAATACCCTTGCTATGGCCTCAAAAGGCACAAGTTCCTAACTCTGGTTTGAATTTACCTTTTCTTAAAGTCAAGATTTATGCATCAGCCTTACATCTTTATCCAGGCAATGTGGAATGGATTTCTCTCTAATTCATTAAAGGTCAGTCAGCATGGATTGATAAAGGGAAACCCATGTCTGATACATTTGCTTAAATTGAATATTTCCTCTGGGCTACTGCAAAGGTGACCTGAGGTGACCGTCATCAAGAATTCACCCAGGCAGCCTTAAACAGTGATCTCTGCCTGTTGTCCTCACCAACTCCTTAGGAATCCAAGAACAAAGCAGCAGCTGAATGCAAACTCATTCTCTTTCTAAGAGCAAACTGAGATATTTGGCCTTGGCCTCAATAATTGGTTCTGAGATCTGTTTCCAAGGTTGAAGCTAAGGATGTCCACCAAGCACACCATAGAGGCACTGAGCATGTATGTACTTGCACACATTCATCCTGTCTCCAAGCCTTCATCTCCCTTCCACTCTGGATACCTATCAAAGTCAACCAGCTACCAGAGCCATTTTGAGCTGATGCTAACTTCTCTCTGGAAGTTCTCTTTTTGTTTGGAACTATGAAGAGTGTGTTAGTTCATTTTATCTGTTCAACTTAGAGGGTGTGTGGGCATAAAGTTAACATTTAAATTGGTCAACTTCGAGAAAGCAGATCACCCCCTTTCCCTACTGCTAATAACATAGATAGGCTCCATTCAATCAGGTGAAGACTTGTGTAGAACAAAAAGACCCTCCTCCTGAGCAAGAGGAAATTCACCAGCAGCCTACTTTAGATTTCATCTGTACCATCAGCTGTTAGCCCACACTGGACTTGCCAGTCTCCATAATTACATATGCCAATTCTTTATAATACAGTAATCCTTGTCCGTACATGCATATATTCTACTGGTTCTGTCTCTCCAGAAAACCATGACTCATACTCGGGGATACCAATTACTATAGCTATTCAAATTTTTGAAGCCTCCAACTTCAGGTGAGTTTCAGCTTCCACTTTAATTTTCTGTTTCTAGAAAATTCCACATAAAAAAATGAAGTCATGCTACAGGCTTGCAGAAGCAGGTATTAGACAATAGTTGTATTCCAAGAATCCAGAATCCTAGAGACATTACCATGATTCTTAGAGCAATCCTGTTCATCGCTCTTTGGGAAATTAAGATATAGTGCTTTATATCTTCTTCCCAGTTTTGAAAAATCAGTTTTTACTGGAAGACTGTGACCTGAAAAGCATTGGGTACCAATAGTCTGACTCTCCCTCTTAACAATCTTTTTGAACAATCACCACACCTTTCTCAAAGATCATCCATCCTTAGGAGTCAAGACAGTTTATACCTCCTTGGTTTGGTAAAAAAGGCTAAATTCCAGTGTCCCAAAGTCTTTTCCATTTTCCCAAGGTCTCTAGGGTCAAATGCTGCCCTAAGGAGAGGGCTCTAAACCCACAGCTAGAAGTAAAACTGAAATAACCCAGTTCTGGGGCAGTCATTGAGAATCAAGGTTGCATCTGGTTCAGAGAAAGGGGACAAGTTACAATGTTTAAATGAGCAGATTGGAGTTATTATCACTGTCAATAACAGTACCAGTTCATTTCTAAAACAAGGAGAAGAGTTAATCAAATGATTGACAGCAGTAGTGTTTAACCACCATAACTCCTTTCAAATGCATTTGGATTACTGAGAAGTAGCTTTGTATCAATTCTCTAATAAAGATGTTACCAAAAAAAGCAGTCTTGCCAGAATGTCCCATAACAAAATACGGGGCATGAAGACTTGAAAACATCCTGTATTTTGTTCATTTCCCTCATCTTAATTACATAAACTACCTCTTGGTTCTAGCAGCACCAATACTTATATCACCATGATGGCTTTCCAAATCTACTTGTGGACAGATGAAGAAAATAATATCAGTAGGAAACTGGATAAGAGAATCATTAACACATATCTTCAGGGTGGTCCAGAGCCCCCAGCCCATATGGATGTATGTAGCAGATCTCAGTGGGTCTTGAACTATATATCCTTATTAATGGCCCATTGGTTGCAACTATCTCCACCCGACAAACAGTGGGACTGAGAAACAAGAAGGTGAATTCATGTATCCAAATTCATGTAAGTTACTTAAAAGAGGATGCAGCCCTGGGTCATATCCTCACTAGCCAAATGGACTTTTGGGTAAGATTGCTATCTGGCCAGAGGAATGTTGCCATTGAGAAATCTTGAACTTGATTTGGAATAGAGCCTCCTAAGTCTTGCCTGCCAACCTGTGCCTCATGCAGCTGTTCAATAGCACAGAAAAAAACTAACATGGCAAAAAGGAAGGAGGAATTTTACAGCTTATTGTCTGCTGGTCATTCTTGATTCAGTCACAACTTTCAAGCATCACACGTGATGTTGTTTTGACCTGTTAGGTTCATGCCTTCTTTATCCGTGAATGTAATTATTATCATTTTAATTTAACATAGGAGACAAGGAAGACAAGGCATTTTACTGCAATGATTCAGTAGACATGTTGGGGTAAGGCCACATTTGTAGGACCATAAACTAGCTTCCTAGTGCCATTTGAACCACTGCCAATTCACTTATTGCTGACATGTTCCTTAAGAACAAAGCTTCTCCTCTCTCCTTTGCCTGTCATCTTGCCAAAAGCATTATATTGCCACGGCCAGTGACAAGATGGGATGGGATAGAAGTGTACATTAATTGTATTCTGAAGCCTGTCATAAATTCACTGTAGTGAATCTGGATGGGGAGATTAAACAGCATTTAAGAACATTTTCCAAAAAATTACTTGAGCATAAAATAATGGTTTGCATAGGACAGAAATAAGATGACATAGGATGACTGTGATTTATGTGTGTTTCATACAGT